GGAGCCCAGCAGGTCGAGGCTGCGGTGGCCGGGAGCGGCCACGGCACGCCAGTCTGGGTGAGACTCCAACTCAAAAAAAAAAAAAAATAAATTGAAACCGCATAAAATCCACGAGGAGGAAAGAGAGGCGAGCATCCCCAGGCCAGCCTGGCCTCCCGTCGGTGGCAGCCCTGACCTGCAGACACGCGCACTGGGGGGCGATGCCACATCTGGCGGTCCAGTGGCCTGCTGCAAGTCACAGCGGGAAGATGCGTTCCTGCCCTGCCGCCCGCAGTGCGGTCTGGCGAAGGGCACGCCAGCCCGCCGGGTGACCGGGGAAGCCACACCGGACGCAAACCACAGAGCGGCTTTCACGCCTTCATCTTTGACACGCTCTTTGACTTGCACCAGCTGGGACAGGCTTTGCCCAGTGGACGGAAGTAGGGACGACGTGTGGACAGCCGCGGGCAGCCCGCTCCGGGCAAATGGGACGTCTGCCTCTCGCGATGATGGGACCTGGCCAGACCCAGAGAGGCCCGGGAGAGAGCCGTACGTGGCCAAGCGACACCAGGTCCCCGGCCGGAAGCCCCCGGGGCACGCGGCGCCGGCCTGGCCTGGCCTGGTGGGACTCACATTTTGTCCTGGATCGCCCTTTCTCGCCGGTTGACGTCCTCGAGGTTTTCGTCGACGTCCTGGGAGTACTGCACCAAGGTCAGGTTCTGCTCCTCCAGCTCCGCGAGGACCCGCAGTAGCTCCTCCGGCTCCGTGAAGTACAGCACCGGCTCCTGGCAGGCGGGACACAGCTGGCTCAGGCCTCGAGCGCTCTCCCCTCGGCCAGAGGCGCAGGGGCCCCCGGGCGAGGCTGGTGCAGGGGCCGGCTCTCCGGCAGAGTCGCTCTGGGTGCGGGATGGGGGCGGGAAGAGGAGAGCCAGCAAAGGAGGGGGAGCGCGAGGGGGGAGGCCGCATGCGCGCGCCAGGAGGGAGGAAGCAGGACGCAGGGCGAGAGGAGGCCGGGCCGAGGTCCTCACACCCCACTTTCGACTGGCGCTACAAGCAAGTACCTGTGACCTCAAACCATTTTCTGAAAAGTGACCCAGGTGTTCCCAACAGCCGCGCACGGCGGCCATCTCGGTGTCCACGGACGGAGGGGGACCGGGAGATGTGGCTAGTCGTCCAGTCGAGTGTTTTCAGCCTTAACAAGGAAGGGAGTCCTGACAGAGGACACACGGCGTGGACGGGCCTGGGACGGGATGCTCACAAGAAAGGCAGCCCCCGTGTGGTTCCGCCTCTGCCGGGCATCGAAAGTCCTTGGCTTAGGGCAGCGGAAAGCAGAAAGATGGTTGCCAGGGGCGGGCGGGAAAGAGGCGCCGAGTGAGCGTGGAGCCTCAGCTTTGCAGGATGAAGACGCTCGGGGCGTTCACTGCCAGCAGCGTGTGTGTCATGGGCACCACTGTGCGCACACTGGCGGCACTGGATTGGTGGGCTTGGGCCCGCTGGGTGGTGTCAGTCCCAAGGGCGTTTCGCTCCTCTGGCGTGTCTACGGCCTGTCAGTCTCATGGCCGCAGAGGCCGTTGGGTCAAAGGCCGGTTCGTCTCCCTGCTCAGGCCACCGGCGCACCGCAAGCCCCCAGACGATAAGCAACTGGAAAGGGCCCATTTCAAGACCGTGGACTAGCCGTGTCTCCACGATGATGACCCTCCTCACAGACATTTAATTTATATATTTTTTGAGCCAGAGTCTCACTCTGTTGCCCAGGCTGGAGTGCAGTGGCACACTCACGGCCCCTGCAGCCTCGACCTGCTGGGCGCAGGCCATCCTTATGCCTCAGGCTTCGAAGTAGCGGGAACCACAGGCGCACACCACCACATCCGGCTCAGTTTTTGATTTATCATAGAAACGAGGTCTCATCAAGTTGCCAGGCTGGTCTTGAATCCTGGACTCAGGCAATCCTCTCACCTCCACCTCCCAAAGTGCTGGGATGACAGGCGTGAGCCACCACACCCAGCAACGTTTTTCAAAAAACGTCTGACCACAAGGTTGGACTACACAACCCGTGGAGAGCAGTGTCTAAATCACATTTCCTTCTGGAGGGTTTGGAACATTTTGAACATGAAATTTTAATTTCTTTTTTTTTTTTTTTTTTTTTGAGTTGGAGTCTCACTCTGTCACTTAGACTGGAGTGCAGTGGCCGCTGCCGGCTACTGCAGCCTCGACCTGCTGGGCTCCGGTGATCCTTCCGCCTCAGCCTTACAAGTAGCTGGAACTACAGGCGCGCGCTACCACACCCAGCTAATTTTTGATTTATTGTAGAGACAAGGTCTTGCCAAGTTGCCCCAGCGGGTCTCGAACCCGCGGGCTCAGGCAATCCACTCACCTCGGCCTCCCAAAGTGCTGGGATTACAGGCTGAGCCACCGAGCCCGGCCCGAAATTTTAATTTCAAAGGGAGAAAGGAGCATCCATACTTTTCACCAAACACGATACTTAAGAAACAGAATCTGATTACCAGGTCAAAGTCCATTTTGTCATCGAGAAAGAATTCCAGGCTGTCTTCGGAATAGATACTCTCGTCCTGGCTGTAAAGGAAAAAAGGACAAGCACTGTCAGATTCTAGTCCTTTTCTGCCCACAGAGGCACTTTCATGTCTAAGCTGCCTTGGAACCGGACTGTAACACGGTTCTCAAAGCCTGTCTCGCCTCTCAGAGGACCGCGATTGCAGACACCAGCGGGCTCCCCGCAGGTGGAGGGAAGATGGGACTGTGAGACCACGCCGGGGCCATGCTGCCTGGGGTGCGTCTGTGGAGTAAGGGCGCAGGACAGCCTACACAGCCACAGCAAGCTTTCGCCAAAGGGGCGGAAGCCGTACGGAGAAACAGTCCCTTCCAGCACAGAGCCATCCATGGACACAAGCCCAAACAGAACACCACAGCCTGACCCTCTCAGCTCGCACGGAAGTGAACTCAGGATGGAAGACGGGTCACAAGCCTACGTGGGAAACTGTAAGCCTTTTCAGAAACAGTTGCAAAACAAATCTTGGGGCCTAAGACTGGGCAAAGAGTTTTAGAATTGACACCAAAAGCGAGACCCATAAAAGGATCAGCGGGTGCACTTTCTCAGACTTCCGCCCCGCGAAGGCCCTGTTAAGAGGATGAGGGGAGGCCGGCAGACTCGGAGGACGTATTTGCAGACCACATGGCCCGAAGGCCTGGCTTCTGGTTTATAAGGCATTCTCAAAGTCTAGCAGCCAAGAAGCCAAGGCAAGAAATGAGCAAAAGACACAGACGCTCTGCTGGGGACACAGATGCAGGCAGGCCGCGAGAGGAGGCTCAGCGCCAGGAGCCGCGAGGAAAGCGCCGACTGAAAGCCCCGCAAGCTCTGCCCCAGGCCTGTCCCAACAGGGTGCAGAGCAGTGAGGACGCTGGGCGAGACCTCGTCTCTCCAGGAAATCAAAAAATCAGCTGGACATGGTGGCGTGTGCCTGTGGTTCCGGCTACTTGGAAGGCTGAGGTGGAAGGCTTGCAGGTCGAGGCTGCAGTGGCCGGAGCGTGCCGCTGCGCTCCAGTCTGGGCAGCAGAGAGTGAGACTCCAACTCCAAACAAAACGAAACCAAAAAATCCCAGCCCCAGTAGATCACAGGCTGTGTCCACAGACATGGGGGACAGACTGGTGGTTGCCAGGGGCTCAGGAGAGGCGGAGGAGGGAGTGGGTGTGTTTATAAGGGGTGACTGTCCCAGTGTCAGTGCCCCGGTCGTGGGATAATCCTACAGTCGTGCAAGGCGTCACCACTGTGGGAAACTGGGTAGAGAGCACACGAGATCATTCCGTATTGTTATTAAAACAAATTTTTTTGTAGAGACAAAAGGTCTTGCTATGTTGCCCAGGCTGGTCTTAAACTCCTGGGCTCAAGCGATCCTCCCACCTTGGCCTCCCAAAGTGCTGGGATTACAGGCATGAGCCACCATGCCCAGCCTATATTATTTCTTACAGCTGCATGTGAGTCTACCATGGTTCCAAAATAACATTTAATGTAAAGCAAATAGTGACAGCTAAATGCCACAGGAGTGGCATGTCACTAGGGCCCCTAGGATTCGGGGCCAGATGTCAGTTTCTCTCAGTGGCCACTGTGCTGCTGGGATGCTGGCCCGGTAGCCCCCTCCAGGCTGATGTACCCACCCCAGGCGGCAACCAATTTTCGGGGAGGCCAGGCTGAGAACATTCGACTTTTGAAGAGCACGCATCAAGGAGTCAACGTTAAAGAAACCAAAAGTAAGTGAGCTCTCTCATGTCCCCGCAGTGTATGCACGGAGTGACATGGTGTGCTCGGGCTGGCAGAGCAGCTCAGTACACCGGAGTGCGGTGGATCCCGGAGGCTGAGGCCTGGTGGGACAGATGGCACCGCACTGGGCTGCACCCGGCCGTGGAGTCACGTGGCTCAAGCTGGGGACCCCGGCGGCCTTGCAGCCCGAGGCCCCCGCTTCTCCCGTCAGCTGGCCACACCCACAGCGTCGGGAGTGCACAGGGCCCATCTGGGCAGGCGAACCGTGCTCTTGTCCCTGGCTGTGTCCAGGGGCTGATGGCAGGGCAGAGAGGAGGAGGCCCCGGCTGGCCTCTACCTGTCCAGGAGCACCGGGGCCGGGGAGGACCCAGGCGTGCTCAGATGGCTGAAGCAGTTACTGGCCAAACCCATCGGCTTCCCAGGGAGTCCATCAAGGTGGTACCTACCTGGGTGTGGAGGACGTCTTTTTCTCCAGGGCAAAAGTAGTTCTCTTGCGCGGCGTTCCTGGGCAGATGTCCGCGTGAAGTCCGTGCATTGGTGACAGTGGAGGGAACAGAAATAAAACTTGTGGTTAGCAATGAGTCCTTCTCACTGCGAGGTATTCGTTTTCCTGCACAGACATGTCTATTATTTCATTTTTTTCCCCAAATTTAGAGACAGGGTCATGCTGTCTGCGGCCCAGGCGGGAGGGCAGTGGTGCCAGCATAGCTCACTGCAGCCTTCAGCTCCTGAGCTCAAGCAGTCCTCCGGCCTCGGCCTCCCAACGTGCTGGGACTGCAGGCATGAGCCCCTGGGCCCAATCTAGTACTTTTTTTGAAAATTTACTTTACGATTAGAATAACAATCCCATAAAAAATGGAGCCACTTTTTTCCATTGGAACTGAAATTGGGTTCCAAGCATCAGTATCCAATCAGAGGCGCGCTGACTCAGGGTGGAGGGGTGCTGTCAGAATCAGGATACAGTTATTGAAGGCCGTAAATCAGGGACGTCAGTTGCGGAATGTATGTCAGGGTTCTATTTTTGCCCAATTATACATATATATGTATACTTATTTTTTCCTTATTTAGAGACAGAGTCTCACTCGGTCACCCAGGCTGGAGTGCAGTGGTGTGATCACAGCTCTCTGCAGCCTCTGACTCCTGGCCTCAAGTGATCCTCCTGCCTCGGCCTCCCAAAGTGCTGGGATGACAGGCCCGAGCCGCTGCTCTCAGCCAGATCTTGAGTTTTTCAAGAGAAGACAGACATACAGCTTGTTTTCACGACAGCTGCTGAGTTTTGAGTGTTGGCCCCAAGTCGGGCAGCACCTGATCCTGGGGCCCGGGGTGCAGCTGGGCGGGCCGGGTCTCTGTGCTGTGGCTCTGCTGGCCAGAGGCGGGAGGGGCCGTCCCCAGGAGTGGAGGGTTGAGGGGTTCTCGGAGTGCAGGCGGACGGCTCAGAGCCGCCACGGCTTGCCCGAGAGCTACGTCTCCTGGTCGCAGCCGGCCGCCTGCCGGGGCCCCGGGTCTGTCCACCGAGAGGGCGGGCCTGAGCTGGGCCATGCGGGGCCCAGCCAGCATGGGCTCATCCCCGACCCTCCGCCTCTCTGTCCACTCGCACAAGTCTCTGAGCTCTCTGGTAACGTTTCAGGGCGAACCCGAGCCCCTGGCTCCAGGACCGGGGGAGGCGGCGCTGCCTCCAGTCTCCAGGCAGCTGGGGGCCTCCGCGCCACCGTGACGTGGCCTGCTCGGGAGTGAGGCTCCCGATCCCCACTCCTACCTTGGCTGTCTCTTCCCTGAGGCCGCTCTTCCAGGACCGACGTCCTCCCGGACTCCTCAGGGGTGCGTTCCTTTTTGCTTGACTGCAATGAGGATTCTAGAAGTGGGAAACACAGAGGGGGAGGGAGAAGAGTGGGAGAAGCCCCTTCTGAGAACGCGCGCCGTCTCGGGGAGAAGGTGGAGTGACCCTCACACTTCCAGGGACGGACCCTCAAGACGGAGACACCACACACCAGCCGCGTGCGACGCACGTGGCCAGGGTCTGCCACAGCTTCTCAAAGCCCAAAGCTAGCTACCCACTCCCCAGGCTAACAGGTAACGAGCTCCCAAGCAGGTCCTGTTTTTCTTTTTTTTAAAATAGAGACGGGGTCTCACTATGTTGCCCAGGCTGGCCTCCAACTCCTGGCCTCAAGTGATCCTCCTGCCTCAGCCTCCCACAGTGCTGGGATGACAGGCAGGAGCTGCCGTGCCCGGCCCCTTCTCGGGCTCTCTCCCTGTGTCTCCTCTCTTGTGCAACACCACCAAGTGAGCTGTCGCTGAACATCACCCCTGTGCTCAACGTGGTGCACACACCATCAAACATCCCGGCCTGGGGCCCGGCGAGAGGCGTGGGGAGCAGGGAGGGCAGCTGTCGGTGGTGTGTGCTACAGGGCTAACAACCAGCTCTCTGGGAAACAGACCCCCGGCTTGTGCTTGGCCTCCCTGGAGCGGGGCCCCACCGGGGTGCAACTCCCAGAGTTGCATTCTGGAGACTCTCTCCGGGTGGTAAACTCAGGTAGGGTCAGGGCTTGCCCGTTGGCCTCCCCTCTCCTGGGGATGCCTCTGCTTGGCCGCCTGATGTCCGGGGTCTGCGCCTGACCCTCTCGTGAGCATATCCGGCTTTCCAGATGTTTCCAGCAGGAGGTGAGCCTGGTCCTTGTGACCCTGATGGCGTCGCAAGTGCAGGTCTTCCCCTTTGACCTGTGAGCCCACTCCTGTGACTTAGTAAAGTCCGGTACGTAGGTGGGTGATGGGATTTACCCCTGGTCCACTGAGCTGAGCCCTCAGCTGTGAGATGCCATGGCAGTATGTTATTTAACCCTTTAAAGGAGGGCTGACCCCGCGGGGACCTTCCTAATGCCGAAGCACTTGTACGTCTTCCCAGATAAACCTGGGATCCGCACGCAATGTTCCTCCACCCAATGCCCCCTCCCAGGCATGTTTTGGTAGCATTTTATTTACAATTCCTGTAAACTTACACATTAAATTTAGAAAAAGTGGCGACTCTACAAGTCAATGTTTCTATCTGAAAATGTGACCTATTTTTCGATGTATCAGACTTCCTGGCCATACACATTAGGGTTACTGTTTTCTTGGATTTCATTTCCGTGTATGTTTTCTAAGGAACGAAGGTGGCTTATTTAGGTTAGTATGGCAGGTTAATAAAGTGTGCTTGACTTTGTGTCTGTTTGCTTTGCAGACTATTTTAATACGATCCAGTCGTTTCTGGGAACCCGAGGGGTGTCTCAGGATGCCGTGGTGTCATTTGCAAGTAACAGGTCTTCTCTTTTCCCACGCATACATTTTGACTGCTTTATGTCAGAGGGGGACAATTGAGCCTCCAAACCTCACGTTGAAATGTGGTCCCGGTGCTGGAGGCGGGCCTGGCCGTGGGGGCTCGCCAAGGCCTAGTGCCGTGCCCACAGCCTCCAGCTCCTGCTCTGTTAGTTCCCATGAGAGCCGGTTGTTAAAAAGAGCCTGCCCCCCCAACCCCCACCTCCCCTGTTGCCACGTGGTCTCTGCACGCACTGGGTCCCCTCGCCTTCTGCTGTGAGGGGAAGCGTCCTGGGCCTCACTCCGCAGAACAGAGGCGGCCTCGCAGTGACAGAGACGCTTGACCTCTGAATTAGCCCGCGTTTCCAAGCGAATGATCTACGGTATCAGAGACCGCGAGGAGACGTGTTCCCAGTCTGCTGTAACAATTCTGACTATTTAAGTAAAGAACAAGCAGACATTGAGGTGAAATTATTTTATGGATAGGGATAGCTGCTTAATTGAAGTTAAGAGGACGTGACTTACTTGAGGGTATTTTTGGAAGGTCGGGATCTGTTTTACTTTTCGATGCCTTTGCTCCTTTTAGTGTCTGCTGCATTTGCCAATGTTTTGGGGACAACTTCAGCAGGAAAAAACCGTATTTCATGTACTCCTTAAGGAGAAATTCTGTTTTTGCTATTTCGCTACTCAAAAGAAGCAAACACAGGATCAGGTTAGTCTGTGTGAAAGCGGTTCATTCAAACAACATTGTGCAAAATTCATGCTCTTGATTCTGCAGCTGAATACTACTTATTAAAGAGTACAAATGTGGCCACAGACTATGGGCTTCCATAAAATATGAAACGAGGAGAAAGGTCGGCGGGAAGGTTGCCTGACTAAAACACTCCCAAGGATGCTCACACACAGCGCAGACTGATGGCTGTTCCTTGGCCTATTTGTTTCTGGAGGGAGCACTGTGTTAAGATTTAGACAGGGACAGAAGCGAGGAGGTAGCCAAAGAGGAGGGTACGTTTGTGAAGGGAAGAAAGGAAACTGACCCTTCACGGGGACCCACCAAGTGCTGGCTACAGTCAGGACGCACGCAGACCCCATCTCGTCCCTCGGTCCAGCACCTACAAGTTGGCACCACCGGCCCCCCGAGTGCCGGGTGACAGGCCGGGCCACAGGTAGGTGAGCAGGCCGGGGGCGGAGGGGGACGCTCACCTTTTCACGGCCTGCACCTCCACGCTGGCCTTCTTCAGCTCCGCCGTCATCTGCAGTTTGTTGATGGTTTCCTGTGCCGCGCTGAAACACAGCGGAGGTTTGTTAGACAGGCCGGCTCGGGGTCCAGTTCGGAGAAGCCCGAGAAGCAGAGGGGCCGGGCGCTGGCTGGGGCAAAGGCACCCACGTCTTGAGGGCGTCCACGGATCTCTGGTCGTTTTCCCGCAAGAACTCCTCGAAGGCCAGGGCGTCGTCCTGCAGCTTCTTCTCGGCTTTTGCGAGCTGCAGCTCCTTGCTCACGATGTGCTTTTCGAACCTCTTAATTGTGTTTCTCTTGGTAGACAGAGAATACTAGGGACACAGAAGATGGAGGTGCAGAGCGTTACTCACGCTTCCGGCCAGTCGCGACAGCCCCGCCGCGAGGGGGCCGTGTCTTGCGACTTGCACGACTTGCCTGGGTCTTGGGGTGACCGCCTCTAGCTCCGGAGGAAATTTTAATTGGCGGAGCAGTTAGGAGGGAAACGGGAATTCTCTCTCTTACTTTGGTGGAGAGGTTTACTGTTTTCTCTTTTTCTGAGTCATGACCGTCAGGACCACTGCAGCCTCGACCTGGAGCTCAGGTGATCCCTACACCTCAGCCTCCCGAGTAGCCGGGACTGCAGGCACATGCCACCATGCCCAGCAAAGTGTTTGGTTTATGGTAGAGACGAGGTCTCGCCAAGTGGCCCAGGCCGGTCTACAACCCCTGGGCCCAGGCAATGCTCTCGCCTCAGCCTCCCAAAGGGCTGGAATGACAGGGACGGGCCACCATGCCTGGCAAGAATGGTTTGCTGTTGCCCCAAAGTGGCTGTGCCCACACATCGAAGTCGGCTGCCCGTGCCTCCGAGAGCAGGTCCACCTCCTTGCCCCTTCTGGGCCTGGGAACCCAGGCCGTCTCCAGCCCCAAAGCCCCCAGCTGCTCCTCCGATGAGAAGGGCCGGGTGGGGAGGCAGTTTTGGCCCAGCCTTGCCCGGCGTGTGTGCCAGGGAGCCAGCCCTGGGTGGTTTCCCTGCACACTGCAAGAGGCCCCCTGGCCCCCCGTACGACCCAACATCAGACTGTAAGCGCCCACTCAGGCTTTTAATGCCAGGCAGGACAAATACACAAGTACACAGAGCCACAGACAGTGGAATACAAATGCCTTTAAAACAAGGAAGTCAGGTAATCTTGAAGAACTCACGACCAATAGTTAGGCCCAGTGAGTTTACAGCAAAAGTATTTCCTTCATGGCTTTCTTTGCCCAGTATTTATCGAGTGCCTGCTGTGTGCCAGGACGGTCTTAAGGGGTGTGGGCAAAGCGATAGACGGCCTGTGCTTGTGAGAGTGTCCATGCCAGGAGAGGAGGGGCGTGCACGGAAGCGGGTCAGCCAGTGGGCGGGGCAGGGGGTGCGGTTACATACAGAAAAACCAGAGTCTTTCCGACACAGGGGCAGCTAAGCACAGACCGGGCGAAAGGAGGGGCCCGCACCAGGATGTCCGCGGGGCTTGTCCCTCCTGGAAGAAAGAGCCTCCCGGGCCTTGCGGCGAGAGTGGCCAGTGGGTCCCAGGACCAACACGGAGGTGCTGGGGCGGAGCCAGCGGGGGACGGGCTTGGGTCCTAGACCCGAAAGACCCAGCCCTCAGCACCACGCCTGAAGCTGAAACCCTGGAAGATCAAACCCCCAGGTCTGAAATCCCCGAGAGTCCCGAAAGTCACACTCCCAGGAGAGCTGCGTCGTGCCAGGCAGACCTGCTTCCTGGTTGTTGTCATCCGGCAGAAAAAACGGATTTCGGTGGGATCTCCGAACATAATGGTGTGTTCACATGACGGCAGCCTGGGGATTCAGTGCGACTGAGGCTTCTGAAGGTGAACGTCAGAGTGCTACTTACAGAGTCGGTGTCACGACAGCAGCTATGAACCTGGGTGCATACGGTCACCAGCCCTAGTGACACACATTTGTCTGTTTCACTTTCGGACCTAATCCCTTATGACCGCTGTTCGTCTGCTCCTAAGTGTACACCCACGTGTCTCTGGTCAGAATACCTGAGTGTTTACACTTGCAAAGACAGGTGTGTTCTTATTGCCTGTTTTATTGTATAAAGGGGCTTTTGAAGTGTTCTGTTGGGCTTTTACGTGTGTCTCAAACAAGTCCCCTTTACAGTTTTAAAATACAAGTCTTAAAAAACATTTTTTTTTTGGAATTCAACTTTTGGGATTTTGACGTTTCAGGATTTCGACATTCAGGGCTGTGGCACATGGGTCTGTGTCGTTTGGGATCAGAGAGAGTGGGAGGAGTGAGATCAGAGAGGAAGCCCGGCCAGACAGGGTCGCTAGGGTCAAGCCCCCCACGAGGGACCCGCCCCCAGGACCCAGACACCCCCACGGGGTCCCGCCACCAACACAGGACTTGGGGGGACAACATCCCAACTCCATCACGTACACCCAGAGCATGCCAGCTAGCCTCTGCAGGCACTGGCTCTGTGAATAACTTTATCGTTCCTTGGCGCTCCCTGGTGCTGATGGCAGCTGCCAACACATGGAAGTGTTCATGAAAGCGTGTGGAGCGCGAATGTGCAAAGTCGGCACATTCTCATTTACTCCTCAGCATCGCAAAGTTTAACGGAGACATGCGATCCTCCTTAGCTCGTGAGAGGTTTGGCAATAGGAGTAAGATTCAAGGCACCCATTTTAGCACCGCTAAGAGCCAAGTGTCGGCCTCATCTGTGGTAAGTGAATATGCACATGGAGGGAGGAAGTAACCCAACCCTGCTTTCAGTTACAGGCTGGGTTTCTCCATGAGGTTTCTGATGGCCGGATGGAAGCGTCTATTACTGTCATGAAGACGTCAACAGGACCTGGTGCTCTCTTCTGGTGCCCGTGGGAATAGGGACTGGGAAGGATTCTGGAATTCTCTGGCTTCCAGGGTGTCTGGATTCCCACCACATACAGCCAAAGCACCAGCCAAAGCTGACTGGGCTTCTTGCTGTCCTGGCCATGGGGAGGGAACAGGGGAAGAGGGAGACATGGGGGCCAGACATTTTCTAGAACCATTTTTCTGCAGCTTCTGGAAGTACGGAGCCGCGTGGGAGACATGGGCATCGAAGTTCTCTGAGGGTGTGGTCTTGGTTTTGTGTACTGCTTGGCACATAGTAAACACTCATTAAATACTTTTCAAATGAATGAGCCAACGTGTTCGGCCAACAGATGTGGGCACGTGAGGGGGAAAGAGACGACAGTGGGTACTTGCTTTCGCCACCCCCACCACCCGAAGCCTTCTCCTCAGCTGATGGGGGGAAGACATCATTTGTACTACCTCGAGCAGGAACCTGTCTCTCTGGTCGTTAATAAATTCATGCACGGTCCTTTTTGTGTCTGAACCTGTAAAGAAAATTGGAACAGACTTAAGCTCAGTTCATGATCCGGCCACATCATTAAATCATCGTGCCCCTAGTGCCTGGTCTCGAGGAAAAAAACCAAAACAGCACTATGCCTTCAAATAAACTTTCCCCGAACCCCTCAGAACTAATTTCATAGCAGCATTAACATCTGTCATTCCCATTCCAGGAACCTCATCAGACGTCTTTAGTATGCCATTTGGCCCCACCCACAACCCAAAGAAGGTCCTGACGGCTGTCCCATCCAGTCTGTGAGTCCGCAGCTCAGAGCTGTCGACATTCCCGTCCGAGATGGCACATCCAGCAGCGCAGACAAGGAAAGGTGTCTGCTGAGCTGGGGCGGCACCACACGGGACCGACGTGCTCCCACGTCATGCGTGGCCAGTCCAGACATAAGGCTGAGGCCCGTAGACCCCAGTTTTGGGACCATCACCCGGTTCGCAGCAAGGAGGAGAGGTCGGCACCTTGGTTTACACCTCGCAGTGAAACACCCAGAGCTGCTTCCGAGGGCTCTCCGTGCTGGGTATCTGTGCTCAGGCGGCCTCTCGGTACATTTGCTTCAGGAAAAACCCATGGGATGTGGCACCCAACAGAGAGTCTCAGTGAAAAAGCAGTAGCTGCTGCTCATATGTGGAAGCTACGAAGGCTGATCTCTCGGAGGCAGGGGGAAGAACGGCGGTCCTGGGAGGAGGGACAGGAGGGAGAGGCTGGCTCCCTGGGGCCGGCTGGGAGGAGGGCGCGCCCGGGTTCGCGGCACGGCGGGAGGCTGCCGCTCCTGGTGGTCTTCAGGTGGCTGGAAGGACGGACCCTGAAGGCTCCCCCCCCAGAATGGACATGTGTTTCAGGTGGAGGATCTGGAATGACCCCGATCCAATCAAGACCCGACAGTGGCCGAAAGATCATGCTGCACCCGTACATATGCCCAGTTGTTATGAGTCCAGTAAAAAGAAAGACAAAAGCCAAAAAAGGACAAAGAGAAATGAAACGACATTTCCCCCACGACCCGTGAGCCTGTGCTGCAGTCCTCCTGGAGTGGTGTGCACATGTACCTCTTCCTAGCAAGGGAGCCGGCGAATGTTCTCACCCTCTCCATGCCGCGGTGTCCTCATCTGTAAAGTGAGGAGACTGCGTGTGCTAGCAGAGGCTGGTGTTGCTCCTTTCTGTGGGCATGCCTGTCACCCCAGCACTTGGGGAGGCCGAGGCGAAGGGACTGCCTGAGCCCACGGGTTGGAGGCCCTCCTGAGCAACTTGGCGAGCCCTCATCTCTACAATCAATCAGAAAATTAGCTGGGCAAGAGAGCTTGAGCGTGTAGTTCCGGCTGAGGCAGAAGGATCGCCTGAGCCCAGCAGCTCGACACTGGGGTGGCTGTGAGTGTGCCACTGCACTCCAGCCTGGGTGATGGAGTGAGACTCCAACTCAAAAAAAAGGAAATAGTAAAATCGTTTAGCATTATCAAGGCAACTTGGGCTGTGTCAGCTTGTCAGTTTCTGCCGATTGCATTTCAGTAAAAATGTGGCCATGAGCCACCACACCTGGACATGCCGTTTACTGTTAAGAGGCCAGTGGCCTCTTTGCTGAACAGCAGCGATATGGGTCAGCCCATCCGCAAAGCCACGCTTTCCTGGTGACCTCAGGTCTGCTGGAGTGGCGAGGGCTTCCGAAAGCAGCCACGTGGGTAGGACTCCCTGGAAACATCACGGCATTGCCACTGCTCTCAGGGACCCGGGGCTCACTCTTTTTTATGTTTAATCAATATTTTTTACTTTGATATTGTGGGGTACAGTTTGGGGTTAGGTATACAAATATGCTTCGTTCAGGCACCCTTGTTGATAAGGGATGTCTCCCCGTTCCCAGACAGATATTGACTACCGTTAATCCCACCTCCCTTCCCCTCCCCCACAGGGCTCACTTTCTATGGAGGGAGCCAGGGGGCATAGGACTGGACCCGGACAGACCCCGACGCTCATGCGGCGTCCCCAGCGTCCCCTGCTTCGGCCGCCGGCTGCCTCGCGTGCCGTCACGCCAGCAGGCACGCACCTCCTCAGCGCGTCGCCCCGGCTTCCCTTTTCTGTCTTACCTACTGAAGCCAGATCCCCTTCCCGAGGGGTTTCTTGTTCCTTTAAGGATTTTGTTTCCATAATTTGGGAAGGTGCATGGGCTTTGGGAGCCCAAGAAATTTCTTTTTAAGGGACCACAGTGACTTCGATACATGTTCTTCCTTTTTTCTTTCTTTCAAATTTTTAAAAAATGGGAAAAGATCCGTTTGGGAGAAGCTTGCCCACTCCATCTTCCCAGCGTGCCCACTTTGAGTTGGGTGACATCAGACAGCTCTGCACCCCACACTGCACCCCACACGAGGGCGCGCCTTGGCCCGGCAGACAGAGCCAGCCACGGCACTTCTGGCCCCAGACGGGCCTCCTTCAGACAGCAGCCTTGCCATCGCCTGGCACTTCAGCGTGCTGCCTCCAAAGGCTGTGGAAACCAGGCTGTGTTTTTGCGGCAACAGGCAAGCGTGTCCTCTTCCGCTGGGGCCTGGGCCGCCCAGGCCCTCCCATGGCTAGCTTCTACAGCGCAACACCCAGGGCGGGCCAGGCGTGGCTGAGCGTGGCCTTTGCATGCTGTTCGCCTTTGCTGGCGCCAGCGCCGTGTGATCGTGGCATCCCTTTCTTGCCGGGAGCCGTGGACGTGAGGTGAGTGACAGTCGTCTGGCAAAGGATGATCTCAAAAGATTTCTTCCACTGTCAAGCCCTATTTGCAAAGACCGCCCTCCTGCGCCCCCCCTCCACCCCCCCGCTGCAAGAGGCAGCTGACTTTCTGTTTTTCTCACCCCGGGAGCCCCCCGGCCTGGCGTGAATCGCGAGACCCCGAAACGCTGTCCTCAGACAGTGGCTCAGACTCACCCTCCGTCATCCTGAGAATCAGGGCGGGGTCCAGCCCCAGGTTCCCCAGCGATTGGCCCCTCGTGTCGCGGTAGAAGGTCAGCTGGCTCAGGTGCGAGCGGCTCTTCATGCGGGACGAGAAGGTGGACTTCTGGTGCACCTTCAGGCTGTGGTTCAGGAGCTTCTCCTGCCCGAGGGGAAGAGTCGAGAAGGAAGGTTCGTGCGCGCCCAGGCGCCCTTCTCGCGACAGGCACGCGCGTGTGGAGGTGCGGGGGCCGCAGAGGCCGCGGACCTTCACCAGGCAGCCCGGGTCCGCGCCCTGGCTGGGATGCGTGTGGCTTTCGTGGCCTTCCTGCGTGGGGCTGGGAACAACGCAAGCCCCCGAACCCTGAGGATGCACGCTCGCCACGGCCTGAGGCTGGAAGGGTCCTGCCGGCTTGATGTCCCCCGTTCTGTCCCCCTTTTTGTCTTGCTCAGAACACCGGGGACCTTTGGAAGTTTCAAGAGCTGCATCTGGGGAACCGAAAACCCGAGGGGAAAAGGCTTTCCCAGTGGGTGGATGCTTTTGATCAGGCTTCCCCGTTCATCCGTGCTTTCTCAGGTTAGTTTGGGGGCAGGTCATCAGCAGTATACACCACACGCAGGAACGCCGCCCGCACGGGAGTCGTGCTGAGCACGTCTGGGTGGATCCCCTGTATGGGTGGAAAGGGCCCGTTGTCACCCTCCCCTCCGGGAGGAGGCCAAGGAGGCCTGCTGAAGTGTGAGCAGCAGCGGGGGCTAGCCGCGCAAGGAGCGAGGGCGCCCAGGAGCGAGGGCCAGCCACACTGGGACGCCGCGGCACCTGGGCCGTCTGAAGGGACCCCGCCGCCCCTGTCCCCGTCTTCCCTCCCTCATCACGCAGGTCTCGTGCCATCCGTGCCTTCTGGCAAATGGCGACTTACTCTTGAAGACTCAGCCCCCGCTATCTCCTCGGCGACGTCTTCTCACATGCACGCACACACCACGCACGCACACATGCACACGCCTGCCCCCTCTCCCCGTGTCTCACAAAGACAAGCGCTCCTCTCTCCATGCTTCCGTGGCGTGCATGCATCTCTTTTTATTTTTATTTTTTGAGTCGGAGTCTCACTCTGTCGCCCAGACTGGAGTGCAGTGGCC